TTCTTTGCTTATAATTAATTTTTATATGTATAATTTATATATAATTTATAATTTCTCTGATATCTAGATAAAATTTAATTGTTTCTTCTGTTCAAATTTAAAATACCTTTTTATCTACTAAATAACACATTAATTTCCAGCTTTTTCTTTTACCTAAATATCAAAGAAAAAATATAATGAAGTTAGTTGTTTCATAAACTCTAAATACTATACCTAATATTTTTAATGAAATTTCTTAATTTGAGGCAAATATAATTACGGTTTGTTAAAGTAGTACACTTTGCAAGGGAAAATTAAAGAAAACTGAGTGCAACTTTTCATTACGTGGAAATTAGAGGCAAAATATGATGTAAATAGTTCAAGTTTCCCAATAAATATCCTATGTTTAATATTTATAAAATTTTATAGCACTTCCCATCAATTTGATTTTATTTTTATTTATGGTTATCTAAGTATCTATGCTCAAATAGTTTTTTTGGTTTTATTTTTGTTTGTTTGTTTTCCGGTACCGGGAGTAGAACTCATGACCTTGCACTTGCCAGGCAGGCACTGTGCCACTGAGCTAAATCCCCAGCCCCTCAAATAGTCTTTACTTAATCACATATTAGGGGCTGGGGGGGCTGGGGATTTAGCTCAACGGCAAAAGCGCCTGCCTGGCAAGCACAAGGTCGTGAGTTCGGTTCCCGGTACCGGAAAAAAAAAAAAAAAACAAAAAAAACAAAAAAAAAAAAACTATTAGGGGCTGGGGATTTAGCTCAGCGGCAAAAGCGCCTGCCTGGCAAGCGCAAGGTCGTGAGTTTGGTTCCCGGTACCAGAGAAAAACAAAAACAAACAAACAAAAAAAATCACATGATATCAATCTGTGAAGGAAAAATATATATATCTCCAAAACTGATGCTATATTAAGCACATTATTTATACTATCACTATGAAGCAGATTATCTTCCTTTATAGATGATATTTAGTAATTAATATCACACCAGTATTCATTTAATTTTGTTTTTATCTCCATGGTCATCTTTCATATGAATTGTTATATTTATTTTCTTTAAATAAATAGAAAAAGGAATTTTCAAAAAAGAGAAATTAATGGCCTGCATTTTCTCTCCAGTATATTCATTAGAATATTTCTGGTAATAATAGCACAATGATTAAAAATGTATGGGATTCTCAATGACTTAATACTTTTCTGGGTAGTATTTATTTAGTTATTTTTTATTTTAAAGAGAAAAGACAATAACAAAATCGCAACAACAAAGACAGAAGCAAAACAACACAAAAGCAATAAAAACGATATAGATCTTCAAAACAGGAATTAACAAGGAAGAGGAGAACTCTTAATAGCACTATTTCTCGTTCTATATAAAATATAACATCACTCTTGTAATCAGTGTCTAAAAAGCACCAAATTAATTGGCCAAACCTGGACCTTTGAAATTTCTGCTTAAAAATTGCACATTTGGATTTAGGAAGACAGTTCCAACAAGAATCTTCTATTAATTTCTACACCAACAAGAATAACAATTGGGCAGGTAAAAATGAACGTTTCAGACATAAACTGGAGAACCTCCCTTTTCTGTAGTTTAATTCATATTTATGTGTATGTATAGGCAAAATTTCACAAACAAGGAAACTCCAAGATTACTCAGTGGCGATAATAATAAACTCATAAGTTGGTTGTGATTTATGTCCACTGAACAGATTTTCTGCGAGTCTGCTTGGTCCTGCACCCTTTCTTGGAAAGTCTCAGATCAAGTGAAAATGAAGAGTTCATAAGCAGACATCGAAAACATCAACCTTAGGTCAGGCTCACAATGTTTTTAATGTAGCAGAAAAGATGAACAAATATTTGTTGTAAATGGTAGGAGACCTAAAGGCAGACTTTCTGGAGAAGTGAAAGAGGAATAGAGTGAGGGTGAGGATGCAAATGTTCAAGATATGATATCTACATGTACAGAGTCCTCAAAAAAATACAGCTATTACATTATGGACTTTAAACATGCAGTAATAATAAAAGTTACTAAAGGAAAAGTACACTGTGGTCATGAAAATTTGCCTTCAGAAAATGAAAACTACTTATCTTGAGGCTAAGGATAGATTTTTTGATAGAAATCCTTTAGTTCTATAACAGTTGATACTTTCAAGTAAGTTTTATTTTCTCATTCCTAGAATGAATGTATGTTAATAATGCTATAACAGATTTATTTAGTAAATTATTTATTGGTCTTTTAATCTGTGCTGGAGTTTTACAAATAAAGGGAGCAGAGTGTTTTCCTTCAAGGAGTTGTTGTCAAGAGTTAGGAGACTAAAATCAGAGCTAGGAGAAAGTTTGATTAGAAGGTAGAAATGATATAATTTTCTTAATCTTTTTGATAATTTCAACAAATTCTAACTAGTATTACATTCTAAAATAATAATGGACTGAATCTTGTAGAGCTGAATATGTTGGTTATTTCACCTTTTACAGTCTTACAATGGAGTTGAAATAATTGAGCATGAATAAATGATGAAAAGAAGGAGTAGGTTATTGGAAATGTAAAACATGTTGAAAAGATTCCAAAACACAGGAAATGATAAGCTGGTGGCAGTTAAAAATACATAACAGTGACTGACAGAGATTTCCTTTTGAGATGTTACTTTCTACATCTGGTATTGACCAAATCACTTTTACCAAATTGTTACCAGCCAATTTGATTTTAACCTCGTGAATTTAAGAAGGAAGAAGGGAAGAGGATACAAGGAGAGAAACAGGAGCTATACTGTCCACCAACAATGATTTGTAAGATTCTCTATCTGGATATTTTAAAATATCCTGGGAATTTCAATTATTACAATAACCCAGTTTTCAAAAACTCTATATATAGTGCCCCAGAAGAAGGAACACATGTTTAATGCATATTGACATTTGTAGGAACGCAGGAGACATTTTGGCTTACAAAAGATTTCACATACACACAAGATTTGAAAATATATAGACCCCAAATAACTCAGAATTTCTATTCTTGTTAACATGGAATAAAGAAAAAATTAAAATAGTGTTTTCTTTAATAAACGAATGAACCAAATCTTGTTACTTATATTCCAGTTTTTAATAATAAAGTGAGAGATTAAAGTTCAAAGGCTACTCTTCTTCCTAGAATATGATTTAAAGTAGTACTATTCTAGCCCACTGACCTGTATTTTACAATATGTGGTAATTTTGGTAATATTAGGAACTGTACATGGGGTTTTAAAGTAATGTTATTATTTGATCTTGTATTTGACACTCTGGAAGTTACGGGCCTTTGCACTGATGAAATGTGTATATTTTGAGATTCTAATGAGTAAATGATTTCGGAAACTATTGTATTATTTTCTATTTTAGACTACCATAAGTTAAAATTATACGTATTTATTCTTAAATTTAGAATCTATTCATTACCTCCAGTTTGCCTAAACTATTTAAGAAAGCTGACCACAAAATAACATAACAATTAGCAAGCAAGGATATGTGCAAATATACATAACATTTATTCATTTATATTGGTGTTAAAGTCAATTCTACCTTATGATTATTGTAAATCACATTCCAGGCAATAACCATTTTCTCTAGTGATTAATGTAGCACCACTGCATTTTCAGAGGTTGTTTTCTTAATTTGACTGGCCAGGAATCATTTTCCCTGTTGAAAAACAGGTGTAAACATCAATACTCGAGATAAGAGACTGATCTCACGCTGCTTGCTGGTGTCTCCAATGTAGAGAATTCAGCAGGTGGAGTCTGCAGCTTGAGTAGGGCCATTTATCAGAAGTACAGAACTGGAAAATGTTTGGTGTGACTCACAGGCTTTTACTAAGAGACTGACAGGAAACCCTTTTAATAGGAAAATAACCTGTCAAACACTCTGTATATACAAGGGTTGTGTGACAAACATATGAAATCAAACCCAGCACAGTAATTACAGGTAATTGGGGAACTGTTTCTAGTTTTCTCACTGTGCAAATGATATGCCTTACCACTCGAGACAAGATTTAGCTTTCTGGGGATCTTCTTCAGGTTCTCATATCTCAACTCTTCCAATATTCTCTTTGCTAGTCCCCACATGTTCTCCTGGTTTGAGTGCAAGAAAGATTTGGGCATTAAGCAGTAAGCTATTCTTTTTGTCTTGAAGTATTTTCTCTGTATGTGAACCAGTATTTTTAATTAAACTAATTATGGATTACAGCTTGAAAATGATGGCTCGAGTCTATGCTCAGTGACCTCCCCTAGGTATGTCAGATTAAAATAAACATAGAACTTTCAGACTATTGGGTTCCATGCTAGTTGACTTGATACCTGTTAAAGACTCCTAGGTACTTCAAAATTATTAGAAGGCGTTACCAGCTTTTTGGGGTAAGAATTGTCAGACTCTGAAATATACATTAACATCATTTGTGAGAACAGAAGAAGCAAAATAACAATAATAATAACAACTGGCTTCTTTTGTTTGTTTGTTCGTTTGTTTCTAAAGATTGTTTTTATCCTATTCCCTCTCACTGTTTCCCTAAAAGAAAAAAGTCCCAAAGCATTTAACATGCATATACACATCCATCCTTAACATTTCTTTAATCCTATATGGTGGTAATTGTGTTTATTTCTCTGTGTTGTTTCTTTGTTTACTTCTTTGACAAAGCATGCCTTATTTTTGTTTTACCTGTGTGTATTTTGCTCCTGCATGTCAAACTGTTCAAATGACTCAGTGAACAAATGAATTCTTGCCATTTTAATTTCACTTTAAATATTGTGAACAATCTACTCCTTCTCAAACACAGTTCAAAGATTTTGTTTTGTGATGGAGCATGAAAAAAGTGAAAAAAAAATGACGGAATCTGTGTGGTTCAGTTTTGTACCCTCTATTCTGTTCAAGCTTGTAAATGCTAAACTTAAATGAGATATATGTATGTATTATTTGAATCATTTGTATTTCCTTTTTGTTTGCATGATATGATTTTGTTTTGTATTTTGTTTTTTCCACTCACCAGATGTTCCCAACACTTTGCCTCCCACTACTCTCATCCCCTCCCTAACCACTGCAACAGTCACAACCACTGTAGCCATAGCAACCAGCACAACCACATCAGCAACAACCAGCAACAGAAGAGGTACAGTATGCTTCTTTGTTTTGGCCGGGAAAGCGCAATAACTAGAGGTATGGAGATTTTGTTAGAAAGTACCATAACTGAGAGCCAAGTTCAGTTAATGATTCAAAGTAATTAGCTCACCTAAATTGCTATCGATTAGGATTATTCAAATATGAAACAACATCTTAAATTTAATTTTATTGTCACATGAAAATTATAAATATATTTCAGAACATAGATTAAAGGATATAAGGCTTTATAACGGTGATCAAATTTGTAATGTGAGCATAGGACACTTTTGCAATCCCTTGAAACATAAGGTGTTAAAGAATTCAGAGGTAGCGTTTCCATTTTATGATCATAGGATATTATTACTGACTTGACTTTACTCTGCAACTTGATTAAGATGTCTAGAGGGTTGAATTTGTGCTAAAGTGGAAATAGTCCACATTGTCCTTGTCATTACAGAGTTCTTGAGCAAATATACGTACATACATCCTCTGAAATGATTTGCTGAGGGAACTCTTCTTTTCCCATTAATAGGACATTTTAAAATGAATATTCTAGGATTTCCCAGATCAGTTGGAGTTAATATTTTGCTCAATGAATAATTCCTGGATTTAGTATTTAAATAAGCAATATTGTTTCAAAAATGAGGAAACAGTATTGAAGAAATTGAAGTATTCTTAAGAGTAAATTACATAACTACATTATGGTTGAGAAATATAAATTCCTGAGCAGTCATTAAGCAATTACTAAGTAAATAAGAAATAAAAAAATGGGATTACATAAAAAATGTTTTAAACATAACTTGCACATAAGCAGTGTTCAGAAAGAATGTTATGTATAATTCTATTTCCTTCTGACAAGTTTTTTTGTGATGTTGGCTACACTAATATGTATTTAATTTAACAAATTAACTTGAAATTGAAGGAGACTTAACTTATATTAATATACATAATTATGTTATTCCAAGTATGTGTTTACTTATTAGCTTTTCTTACTTGTAAAAGTTGTTCACTTGGACTATTTTTCTTGGGATTTTTATTATCTTTTACATTAAATTAAATGGCTAGCCATAATGCTACTTGTGATAATCTGTCAATCTCTTGTTTGAGAAATATGTATTCTAATGTTTAATAATCGTCAATTTAGAGTCACTATGTCATTGCCAGGCATGGTGCTGCATACCTGTAATCCCAGCATTCGGGAGGATGAGGCAGGAGGATCGTTGTGAGTTCGAGACCAGCCTGGGCTACAAAGTGAGCTCAAGGCCAGCCTGAACTGCATAGTGAGACCCTGTCTCAAAAAGACCAAAAAAAAAAAAAAAAAAGTCAATTGTATTACATACTAGAGCAGATTTATGATAACAATTTTGAGGGCAGTAGCAATAAGAAGTTGTTACAAATACTGTGTTCTACAAATAACACTTTGTAAGACTGAAAACCTTTGAGGTATATCTATAAGTGAGAACAGTTTAAAGATCTATCTCATAGACATTGATAAAATGAGGAGAAAGATAATAAAAATAAGAAAAGTGACAAAATAGGAATTGAAAGGTACTTGAAATTTTTCGTTTTGATTTGTTGTATTCTGCAAAGATTTGTACAAATTTTAATCTAAATAAAAGGTAATTATTTTGTAATAATATGATAATATTAAGTCCTAATTGTATAAATAACACACAGTGATAGAAAAGAGAATAATTGTATTTACTTAAATATCTTTTAAAAAAGACCTATTTATACACAAAAGGCTAATATTCAGTTTTTTTCTTCTTTAAAAATATTTGTTGAATACCTGCTATATGTATGGCACTATGCCAAGCCCTAAAATTCTGAAAAATATGCATTTTATTAACAATTATGAGCTGAAATGAGAGAAAAATGTTTCATTAACAGTATGAATTTAACAATATTCTATTCGTTCACTTGAATTTTAAATGGAACTTGAATTATTACATTTTAAATAGTCTATTAAAATGAAATTGATTGCTTAATTTTTCTGCTAAACTTATTTTTCTTTTTCAGGTTTCCTAATATGGTTTTTTGCAAACTTTATAACATGATCCTAAAAATGCTAAAAGAAATAATCTTTCCCTCAAACAAGCATACAAATAAGATGCAAATACATTCATAATTGTGTAGGTGTGTGAATCTGTGAAAATCTATATCTATCTTTATCTCTTGATCCTCCAGGTGCTTATGTACATATTCCTTCATATTTATACACAACATAAACTACTCCCTCTTTTTTACATAAGAATCAAAAGATAGCATTATTTAATACTAGAAATAAGGTATGTTATAAGCTGGGCAATCCATGTTATCTTTTTATAAGGAAAAATAGTAGCACTAACATTGACTCTTAGCTTAACCTCCATTTTTTCTTCTATCATTAATCAACTTTGGTAATAAAAGAGGTCATCAAACTTACCTATATTACTGATATTCTACTTGACATTTGAAGGGGAAGATAACTCAGTACATAAACATTGTTGCAAGTTTTGTAGTCTATACTAGTTATGCGGTATTCCTTTTTTATAAAATTTCATAAACAAACCTATTTAAACTTTTACATGCAATTGTGTTTGGATAGAATTCCCAGCTTTATGAAAGTTTATGTTTGAATGAAGTAGTAATAATATGTTGCCTGAGAAAAGTGGAGAACTATAACTGAGGAATATTTTCATCCTGGAAAAAATTCTTTTAGCTTACGTATGTCATCCTTTCTCTCATTCAGTAATTTGAAATAAGCTAAATATAATGCATTTCATTAAATTTAAATGGTATATCTTCACATTTCATAAACTATAACATTTGTCTTTATATGCTTAATAAATGATCATAAATAAGTCACTGTTAATGTCTCCATTTACATTTTCACAATTCCTGTTATTACTCAGTTTTCCATTCTAGAAATGATAAAGATTGAATTTAAAATAAATTTAAAGAACTGCAGCTGTGACTGTATTGGAAATTAACATGAAACATTGAAAAAAACTGTATTCACATCATCAAAATCATGACCTTGAGACTACATAATACTTCAGTTTTTGTTTGAAATGAAACCCTGTCTGGTAGGAGAGAAATTTCAAAGATAAGGAAAATCTAAGCAGTTAGCAGTACCCTGGGGCAAATGAGGGTGCTTCAGAAGGCCCCACTGGAATACAGCCGGAGGATGTACATATATATGAGGAAGTGCTACACAGAACTGATCTGACTGACCACAGTCAACGTTTACCTTTGTAGGCATTGTTTGATGAGGCTTTAACTTATATGGGCATGGTTTGAGGAAGCATTAGCCATGTAAGAATATGGTGTGATTAGCTGGCAGCCTGTAACTGGCTGAAGCTTGGGCTCTGTACACGGCCAATGCTCAGCTATCTATCACAAAAATATACTTGGAGATTTGTTATCAGATTGTTGAGACAAAATTCTTTTGTAGGCTGTAGTTCACAGCTTCCAACTGAGGGTGATGTTGAACAAAATTGGGCCACCTACATATAGAAAGAGAGTTAGGTTAAATATATCATCTCAACAAGTAATAGAAAAAGATATAAAAATAAGGTGATTACTTAGCACATTTTGGGATGATTGCTCGATTAGTTTTACAGAGACAAGCATGGCTACATGCAATTCTATCATATTTGAAATGGTAGAATTATTTCCCCCAGTCTCTCAATAAATGTTTTTTTTTTTAATTCTGGGAGAAATCTTTAGTGTTACTGCCCTGACTTTCTTTTAATTTCAAGCTTTTAAATTAAATATATGAAGAAAAGTAGTAGATAAAAATAGATATATTGAGTAGTAAGACATATGGAAGTTAAATAATTCTTTGCATTTATTAATTTTTGTCCTTTGAAAGATTAACAGTTCATTTCTCAACTGAAACAACACATTTTAATTTTGGGATTTGGAAATTTTAGGTTTTTACTTCTTTAAGACAATGGCCTAAGGAACCCTATCATTCAGAAGGCAGATATATTCTCTCTTACATATATGTTATTTTTTACTGATAACTGTGAGTTAAATATAATCATTTGTAAAATGATTCTGAATGAGATGTGATTTCTACTAATATAAGCATTGTTTTAGTGCATGTTTAATTTGAAAATATTTTCATTCTTAGCATATAATTTTAATTTTTGTAATCATTGCGTCACAGTCCAGAGTCATTTCAGCAACTTTATTTTACAGATGATAATATTATTGAAAATTAAACTGTCATATAGGAGATATAGTGAGATATATCATTGGTTGTGTATTTATTTTGACTTTTCACAGTAGAATTCATACTTGAATCTTTTATACTTAAATTAGAAAAACACCTAAACTAAGCATAGATAACTGTTTCTGCCTGAGTAAGAATATAAATGCCCTAGAATTATAGGTAATCTGACACATATTGATAGATACAGTGTCAATCTACCCAAATATTTTATATATTTCAATGTAACTAAATAAAAAATAAAATCCTAAAAATGGTGATAAAATTTTTCACAAACCTATATAAACATCAAGTGAATTAGTGAACCAAATGTAAATTGAGTTTTATACAAGGCTGCAAAATGATAAAATTTTTAGTTTATATTTTAAAAACTGTCTCATGTACCTAATAATCTCAACCTATTTATTCATTATAATGAAGCTAATATAATAAAACATTAGCTCATATTCCATTAAAAATAAATATTTCTTTCTAATTTAAGGAATGAAACATCAACAATCTCTAGCCAGAGTAGCATTGAGAAAACTAAATAAATAAGTAAACATTAAAAAATGGGTGCACAGTTGTCCACAAAATAATTCAGGAGAAAGGCTGGTCTTCTTTTCCATTGCTGATACATAATACTTGATACCTACAATTTAAGCAGGGGAGGCTGACTTTTGCTCATGGTTTCAGAAGGTTTGATTCGTGGTGGCTGAGTCTAGGACAGACATGTCCTGCGGAGGCTATGGTGGAGCAAGGCTTCTTAGTGAGCTGCAGATGGGAGCAGAGTCAGGGAAGAGTACCCCAAA